ACAACGTGATGGAAATAATGTAATGTGTGTGTGTAGACAGTGAGCAATTGATCTGCAATCAGAGAGTATTATTGAGCACGTTTGTTGATATAGCGTTTGTTTTAGCGCGATTGTTGAAATTAAGTGTATCGTAAAGTTATATTCGGAAAGAATAAACCAGTTTTATTAAGTAAGGACTTGTGTCGCTAAAATTTCGTCGGAACGAAGTTACGGAAAGTGAATTAACAAACGGAGATGTAACAATACTCAAAAGTTCAGCCAGTCACAATCAGGAGAGGTTTCTGGAAACATTATTTCGCTAAACAGATTCCATAATTGCACAAGCGATCTCTCATAAAGAAAGAACTGTAAAAAATGTCAAGTAACATCCTGATTGGCCACTGTTATAAGTTTATGATATTTTGTTCTCACAACAAGTATTTATTTTTTTTCTCATAGTCCGTGCGGACCGTTGAGCCGATGGCAGATCTTGCTCTGCCATCGTTTCTACAAGTATAGGAATGTTTATTTGCCTTAGATATTTACGCAAAACTACACATGGTCTATCTGCACTAGCTATACCTAATTTGGAACTGACAGACTAGGGGTAATGCTAGTCAATAGCACTCACTACCAATGTTTAGGCTACTCTAATCAAATAGAAGGACTTGACCACTCTTATAATGCACCCATGGCTCCAAAGTACAGAGCATGATTGTTTTTTTTTTATGATAATCGGATACGAAGTATGGTTATCATTAAATCAAAAGCCCAGCATGTCCAGTCCATACAGGAATGAAAAATCTAAATACTTTGCATATTTTGAAATTTACAAAAGGGTGAAATACTGTCAGAAAAATTAACTGTAATCAGTACAGTGACTTTATTCTAAGTCTTGTTTGTGTATTTTAGCTCAAAGTCACACAATAATTTATCTAAGATCTGTATAGATTTTAGCATTGGAAACCTATACATTTACTGCTGACCCATTTGGGGATTACTATAAGCCATTAATATTGTTATGCCTTCGTTCGTTTGTTAATTTTCCGTAAAAATTCTTTCTGAAAAAACTTTACTGATACAAGTCCTTTCTTAAATAAAACTGGTTTATTCTTTCTGAATACAACTTTGCGATACACTTAATTTCAACAGTCGTGCTATAACAAACGCTATAATTCACAACGAACATCTCACGTGCTCAACAATATTTTCACTCCCCAGTTCAATTACACATAACCTTGCCTACGTCACGTTGTGACTATCTTATATATTGTTACGTCTCCGTTCGTTCGTTAATTTTCCGTAAATTCGTTCCAACGAAACTTTAGCGACACAAGTC